TTGTGTTGGAGGGGTCAACCAAGATCATCCCAACTTGGACTCTGAAGTGATATGCCAAGCCATCATGCCCATGGTAAAAGCAAGCTCTCATATAGTTGTTGAAGTGTTGATTTCAGCTATACAATCGCAGTATGGGTACATTGTCTCCTATAAAAATCTTGGTTGGCAAAACAAAATGCCATTGTCAAACTTCATGGCGAATGGGATGCATCTTACAATGAACTTCTAGGCTGGTTTAGGATGGTGCGGAGATTGAATCCTGGGATAATTGTGGACTTTGAAACCTCATATACATACTATAATGACTGAGTTCTCCGCGATCGATGCCAATTCTATCGGGTTTTTTGGACTTACCCACAGTGCGTTAATGATGTCAAATACTGCAAGCCTATGGTCCAGATCAACGAGACTTTCTTGTATGGAAAATACAAGCAAGTTTTATTATTGGCAGTTGTCCAAGATGGAAATCGCAACATTCTTCCAGTTGCTTTTGTTCTTGTCGAAGGAGAAGATACAGATTCTTGGGCTTTTTTCCTCCGAAATTTACGTGCACATGTTATCACGAGGGAAAAAATCAGTGTCATTTCTGATCGCGGAGCTGGGATCAAAGAAGCAATGGAGTCTTTGGGTCTAATGTGGCAACCACCCTTTTTACAAAATAGGTATTGTCTCCGATACATTGCTGCGAACTACCATGGAAGATACAAGAAGAAGAATGATGAGCGTCAATTACTTGTGCGCATGGGTAAGTGAAACTGATGTAGTTTGTTTTCTTTCGATCCTTTTGATCAGGTTAGTAAGTTATACATTTTTTGATCAGGTTACGAACTTCTTCCTCGAACGTTTGAATCAATGCTTCAAGATTTACGGGCGAAGAACGATGAAGGATACGATTACATTAGCCTCATCGATAAAGAAATGTGGACGAATGCATATGATGGTGGATATCGATATGGACACATGACGACCAACTTGGCTGAGGCAATCAATTCAACCTTAAAGGGTGCACGTCACTTACCTGTAGCGGCTTTGGTAAAAACTACATATTTTCATTTGGGGGTGTTTTTTGCGAAGCTCGGGGGACAAGCTCAAACCTGGATGCAAGGCGGTCATGTCTATCACCCTAGATTAGTTGCAGATCTACAGAAAAAAGTCGCTGCATCAAATGGAATGTCTGTAACAAGCTTCTCTAGAAGGCATGAAATGTTTCGTGTCATAGAGTTACCGCAACCTCTTCAAGGGATTGAAGATGTGTCGTTAAGAGTAAATCTAAGGGATAGAACGTGCGACTGCGAGTTTTTTCAAGCTTTGAAGTATCCATGCTCTCATGTGATAGCAGCTTGCTCGCATACACGTCAAGACTATAACCATTTTGTGGATCCCGTATACCTACTATATGAAGTTTTTAAGGTATACGAATTTGAGTTCCCCCCCATAGGTAATACAAAGACCCTGATGAGGTTCAAGATTGGCTTCTGATTGTACCAAATCCGAGTTTATTGAGGGAGCGTGGTCGTCCAAAATCCAATCGAATTCATTGCGATATGGATATTCGAGAAATATCTAGACAAGACAGAAGATGTGGGCATTGTAGAAACCCAGGACACACTAGAAAAACATGTCCACTTCTGTTGTCATCAAGTAACAATTGATGAGGAAATGATGTATTGTTTATCAAATAATAATTCTTGTACTTTAATTTGCATTTACTTCAAGTTAATGTCATTCGATAATCGATGATGAAGATTAAAAAACGAACACAATCATTAAATTTTATTAAACTAATAACAATTTGGTATTTGAATATAATTTTAAATACAAAAAACTTACAATAAGTATTAAATGGTAAATGATAACCAAATTACAATAACTGATATTAAATTGTAATAAACAAAATGAACTGAAATACATTAAAAAATCCAACAAATTTAACAAAATAAAGTCGAGGAGGATTTCTTCGTATCACTGGTTCTGACTCCTCGCTGTCATCATCATCACCATCATCGTCGTCGTTGTCGTCATCGTCGTCCTGAGCAGGTACATTAGGTTGATGAGGAGCTGATGACGATGAAACACCTCCATAGAATAAGGACACTGGAGGTGTAATGACTGACTATCCCACCGGCCTGCGAAAACTGGGAAAACTCATAAAACCCAGACATCGCTGAGTGTGAAAACTGTACAGGAAGTGTATGTGCTGCAGCCATGGGTGATGAGGCTGAACTCGCCAAATATCCAGCATATGAACCCCAAGTCGGATCTACAAACATAGACCCATAATAGCCTCCATGAGGGGTCATCTGTGACGGTGGCGACATCTGGTAATGGAAAGGCGATGGCGGCATCATATATGGCTGTGGTGGCTGCTGTGAAGGTCCTGTTGGTGCAGCTGAGGATGAACCAGAAGCACCTGTTCTCCGTCCACGAGTCGGGGGACGATGGTGCTGTGTCGGATCACGTCTCTGTCGACGTCGCGGAAAGGTCTGCCCTCGTGCATCCTCGGGAAGCAGAAACGGTTTCCCGTTACTGTTGAACCACTCATAATAACCGTCAGCAAACATCAAGAGGTCATAAAAAATGGGCTCTCTACGGGGAAGACGCCGATGTCGATCCTCCCACAACACGACCCACTCATGATGCCTCACTAGCCAATCTGTATCTGTCTTGCCGCGTCTATCTAAGCTATGTAACTCGTCTATATTACGAGGTGCTTCCGGAATTGGTTGAAAACAACAAAACTGCCAGAGCACGCGATCAGTAGAGTGCCACTCGACGATCGCATAACAGATTAGAGAGACCATCGCCATCCAAATATCCGATGGGCCCCTCAACTCAGGTGGGATCACCGCCCTCACATCATTAGTACAATATGACACCCATTCAAACTAAAACAAATATTATATAATTTTTTATCAAAATAATAATCTAATTTATAACTATAATCTAAAATTGATTTCTAAACATTAAAATTCATACCTGTGTGCCAGCCTTCTGATCGATTAGCACCATAATTTTTTTCTAAATCATCAGGTAGCTCCTGATGATTTTTCCTATCAGTAGACCACCTATTCAAGGAAAAAAATTTATTATACGCTATATAAAATTATTAATATACAAAATCAGTTTTATAATTACCTCAGAAGTAGTGGAAATACGAATGGGTTCTTCACAACGGGACATAAAAAGGGCAATCGATACCATGCCCAAGACTGCAGCAGCATGAGACATCTGTTGATAGAATTACGCCTGTAGTCAGTGGCTCCACACATCTCCCTGTACAGCAAAGCCAAAACTCCCGAGCCCCAACTGAATGATCCGGCCAGATGAAAGTCGCTAAGATGTCGCAACCACATACAGTCAACTAGGTTGCGCGATTTGTCCGGCATCAACAACCCTCCTATCAATTGCAGTATGCATGCCCGTGCATACATTTTAACTTCATCCTCAGAGGCGTCTGCGCTCAACTCCAAAAAATTGGCATCTAACCAATTTAACGGTATCCTACCTTTGATAAAACTTTCCGGGACACGTCCTACATTTTCCCGACACAAAGTAGTCCAAGAATCGGAAGCTATCCCTGATATCACATCTCTATCCACCGAAGCCCCAGGTGCATAGAAACATCCTCAAGCGTGATCGTGCACTCTCCGCACGGAAGATGGAATGTGTGGGTCTCCGGCCTCCACCGCTCTACTAAGGCAGAAATAATGTCTGGTTCTATCTTACAATGACCCTGATATCTACCTATGTAACCAAATTCAGCCTCTACTAAATACGGCAAGACACGGTTAGGTATCACTAACTTAAGATTCCTAATAAAAGGATCTAATATACGGTCCTTCTCCTAAAAATAAATAATTACAAAAATTAATTCTTAATCTAATAATCATGCATTAAATAAATCAACAAATTATTACTAATAATTTAAATTAAATTAAAACGTTAAAATGTTACTGTATCAGCAAAGTGTCGAGATATATGATTTCCATCTAAGCGAAGTAGACCGCCTTCCATTATATATCTGTAAAAAAATTATATTAGTAAAATATTAAATAAAGTAAAATACTTAAATAAATTAAATACATAATATTAAAAATATTATAAAATATACCTTAAACGAAAGAAAATTTGAGAGAATTTGGTGTGATGAAAGTGATTGAGGATGAGGTATATATAGGGAAGGGTGGGGGTGTGAAAGACCGGGTAATTAAAGCTATAACGCGCCCCCTGCACCGCGCTATACCCCACGTGTCAGATAAATAGGTATAGCGTGGAGCAGGGGGCGCGCTATAGTCACGTGTAACCCAGTCAACGTATAGCGCGGTGCAGGGGGCACACAATACCTTACGTGGCGCCAAATCAACATATAACGCGGGTCAGGGGCACGCTTTACTGCTACGGGTGTTAGATTGGAAAATATAATATGACCGATGTTAGATCAGTAAATATACCGATCACCTGTGATATTTCGGGAAAAACGCCTATAAACATGTAGTCTACCCTAAAATATATAATAAAAATTATTTTTATTGATGAATCTGGGGTAAGTACAATGCAATATGAGTTTAAAAATAACTCTAAACCATTTAACATTAAACGTTCATCCCCAACATTTATAGTGTTCGAATTCGAAATCTAAAAATACAACAACAATTTTTATATCACAGAAATCATTTGATTGGAGCTATAATAAAATTATTAATTATTATAATAATTACCCAAAGATGGGTTAATTACATTCTGAATCCAATTTCAGAATAACTTTTCAAATTCAGGCATCAAAGTTATAAAATGTAAAAAAGAAATAGATATTTCATTCCCATTCCACCCTAGTCAAATACAACAAACCCAGAACCCTTGAAGTTGTGGGCAACCCTTGAAGTTGTGGGCAAACTCAGCTCAAAAACGGTTTCATACATTTAAGGTAAATAAGCAAAACATGAAAGGACAAAACTGGAAAAAGAGAAAATAAAAAAACCTTCTAATGGTTTGAGAGTGCCATAACTGCTCTTTCTTCTTCATCTTCTTCAACATAAAACCCTCAAAAGCTTTCACTTTTTTTTCCACAAATTCTGTCTGTCTTTTTGTCTTTTCCCTCATAAACTCAGATTCCTTCTCTTCTTTCTAAACTCAAAATTTTCCTCATTGTTTTTCAATCTCAACCGGTGGAGAGGAAACGGAGGAGAATTCTCCATGTTTTGATCGATCAATGGTCCTTCGTTCACTCTCGGAAAAGAAGAAACAATTCAATCAGAAGCTAAATTCTAACTCACACTGTGCTGATGGCTTCTTCCTCTGCTATGAAATCTCAACCTCTCCATAACTTTCAATTATATGGCCCCAAATGGGCCATGAACCAGACCAGCAATCAACGCCTCCGGAAACTCACCGATTCCGCTCAGAGATCTCCTCATCGTTGCGAAACCGATTCCGACTCCGATATTATTCGGAAGAAGAGCACAGTGCGGGAAGCTCCTCCGTGTAACGGAGCTTCTTCCGGCTCCTCTCTTGATCATAAGGCTGGAAGATCGGGGAAGAAAGTCATCAAGGGGTCTGGTGTTTCGGTTACTTCGGAGATGAAAGTCATCGATGATTCTGGTGTTTCGGTTACTCCGACGGAGGGTAGATCGAAGATATATATACGCCTGCGAACGAAGAGTCGGAAAACTGTTGTTGAGGTTCCGGAAACTGGAAATCAGAGCCTGAGTGTGGAAGACGTTGATGAATTTGTTCCTAAGATGTGGAATCTGAGGCCTAGGAAGCCAATTACTAAGCCGCAGATTCAAAATGGAGGTGGACCTAAGATCGTAGCTTCGGCTAACGAGAACAAAGCTCAGAGGCCGGAGTCGAGCCGGGCTAGGAATGCAACTGAACCGAAAGCGGCTGAGAAGAAGGCGAAGAAACAGAAGTTCTCGATTTCGCTTACTAGAGAAGAGATTGATGACGATATCTTTGCTATGACCGGCTCGAAGGCCTCTAGAAAGCCGAAAAAGCGACCCAAGAATGTTCAGAAACAACTCGATGTAACCTATTTGATTTGCTTCATTATATATCTTCTGAAATTTGGATTTGTTTTTCTAATTCTTTTTTGAATCTTTTGCAGGGAAAAAAATTGCTTCATTATCTATCTTCTGAAATTTGGATTTTTTTTTCTAATTATGTTTGAATCTTTTGCAGTGCTTGTTTCCTGGTATGTGGTTAGATATGGTAAGACCTGATTGCTACAAAGTCCCTGATCCTCCTTTAAAGGTCTGATGACTTTGCTTATTCAAAAAGTTTAATCTTTTTAAGTACTTGCTCAAGTTATTCCGAGCAAAGGTTTGATTTTTTTGTGATTGCAGGGTTAGATGGGAGTGCTGCTAAAACTTTGATTTTGGAGGGTGGGAATAAGGATGACTGCTAAACATCTTTTTTGCAGTTGTACAATGAGCTTGTAGAGATGAAAGGGTAACAAATGTGTCTTGTTCTTGTTGCCTTTTTGTCTAATCTGTAACGAGGTTAGAGGGATGGCGGGAGACAGTATATTATGGAACTTGTTATGAATTGCTGCAGCCTACAGATTGTAAATATGACTTGTCAGACTCATAAATAGGGTTTTAACCTTTCAGTTTATGTAAAAGGAAATCTTTTAGATCTTTTAAGACTTTCAGTACTTGTTAGTTGTTCATGGAACTGGTTAAATTTTAGAGCATAATGACTGTTTATGGATCCAGAAAGTTTGAGATGCATACTTGTCTTGGTGTGCATGTGTTTCTTTCTCGTTTTGTTGTGGATCCAGTCGTTCTGTTCTCTCATTTTGTTCTTTCTGACATGCTCCGGTTAGATAAAATGTTCTCAGTTTGCCTACAGTTGATCGATTCGAGAAATACATTAGCAATTATTGGATAGTAGTTATGAGCTTTGTTAGTTATTGATGGATAAAGTAGCTAAGGCCACATGTTAGTAATCAAACGATTAAGTAGATATGAACACGTTTAAGAGCATAATAACTGTTTATCAATCAAGAAAGTCCAGGATGCAGACTTGTTTTGATGCTCATATGTTTCTTTCTTATTTTGTTCTTTCCAATATGCATTGGTCACATATAATGTTCTTAGTGTGCTGACAATTGATTGATTGGAGATATGATTTAGTAATTGTTGGATAGTAGTTATGAGCTTTGTTAGTTATTGACGGATTAAGTAGACATGACCACGTGCTAGTAATCAGCCAATTCAGTGACTGAGCGCACACTGTAGTTAACGGATTGACTGGTTTTGAGCATGTGTTAGCAATCAACAGTTTGGGCATTTTTGAGCAAATGGTTATGAGATTTGTTAGTTATTGATGGGTTAAGTAGATATGACTACGTGTTAGTAATTAAACAATTAAGTAGATATGAACAGGTGTTAGTAATCGACCCATCCAGTAGCTCTGAGCACATGCTATAATTAACGATTGAGTGGTTCTGCGCACGTTTTAGAAATTAACAGTCGTGTACTGAACACATGTTAGCTATCAACAGTTTGAGTAGCACTGAGCACGTGGTAGTAAGTGATGGGTTAAGTAGTTATGAGCACTTGAGCATATGCTTGAGCTACTATGTCTTATGTTAAAAATACAAAATTCTTAAGGAGAATATAATGGAAACATATATGGTAGGAATGCATCTTTATGATTCATTTGCAACATTGGATCTATATTTCCTTCTTGCTTCTTAAATGCACATTTGTTGAAGCAAAAACGGTTAGTTTACCGGCTTCAATTTATTTAGGAAACATGCACCGGTTGCATTCAAGGCAAGATGCGTGCCTGTGAATGGTAAAAGTAGTTTTTTTTTCTCGTTCTTTTTGTTTTATCTCTAGATAGCATGAGTGACAAACACGCTTCAGTGGCCATTCAAGGCATGATTTGTGCCTGTTAATAGGTTGAGGTATTTGAGTATAATGCCCTTCTAACTGTCTTGCAGGTATTGTATCTTTATATTCTTACATGCCATCGGAAAGCAAACTTATGAAAAAAGGTTAATTCACAGGCTCTTGATTGGTTTGAGACGAAGTTCAATTGTTAATGAATTATAAAGTTTTGTTTTGCGCGCCTTTCTTTTTTTGAAGAGATTGCGAGGTAGATGCATCAACTTTATTTCTAAGATAAGTTTGATCAGCAAGAATTACATTTCATAGGAGCCATGCATTGTGTGACTTAAATCTTTTATTACCGAGTTCAACACTTGCTTTGAAACTGCATTCATGAAAAGTAAAAGTGGTTGGTTTATCTCTATTTACCAGATCTAAGAAAAATGCCGTTCTCAATTAGTTTATTTGTTCATCTCCCGTACTAGGAAGTGTTTGAATGACTGGATGCAGTAGCAGTTGTTTATGCTCAGACGTTTGCTCGTCTGTATGGAAGCGCACAAGCCAAATAATCTACTTGATGCTTTTGTTGGCATTCTCTAACTGCCTGTTTGAAATGTGTGGAAAATTTGTTGGCGTGTAATGGAAAGATGTTAACGACTGATTAGGCTTGGAATTTCATGGAAAATATCAGTATTGGAAACTGAAGGGTTTGGTTGCACTATTATGAGTGACCTCCATGCTTATATGAGCATCTGGGAGTTTGTATATTTTCCCTGTAAAGAAAAAAAGCGCTTTTGGTAAACTTTTGACAAGCTTCATATATGGAAACTCTATAAATGCCAAATCCTACTATAGCAGCATATCAATTGGAGATATCATGAGGTTTGTTGTTTTAAAGTTTATCAGATTTGCTGTGTGATTGCTAGCTGTATAAGCTATTGATTTCTTCATGATATATGCTCACATGCACACGCACATAATAGAGGAGCATGGGCCTTAAATTTGTTAGGATGTCTTTTCTGAGATAAATGATGATCCCATCAGTTATTTTGATATTTCTACTGGAAGTCTCTGGTGAGCTATGACTCATATGTATCTGGTTGGAACATTGAATACAAAGGTGTTTATGGTTAGATGCCTCAGCTTATATGCAAGGAAGTTCAGTAAGTTTCATAATATTCATGTGTTTTTTTTACTTTGTTTTGATATCTAATTCAGTGTTCCATCTAAAATGCTGGGTTCTTACTGTTTAAAGCTTCAGCCTAACTGAAAGACCATGAACCCCCTCCCCAACAAATTGTTGTCGCGTTTTGACGACAACATGGAAGGTATCATGCATCGTTCTGTTTCCTTCTTTATTTTTGGTAGGTAATATTTATTCTGCTTGTGTCAAATTTTCAGTTTCCTGCAGATTATAATGTACCATCAGACCAACAGAGATTCTGAAATGGATAATGATTTGCACCGGGATGTGATCCAAACTCGAAACTGCTCAATGCTGTTCGGTAGCTTCCTTGTTGGTCCTAGCTGGATTATGGTAACAGTGATACTAATACCGTCCATTACAGAAAAGGCTGAAACTAAGAATCAGATGAAAATGACACCCAGCAGCCTACTCGATGTTGTTTGCTACCAACATGTATGTATGTTATAGGGGAGCTTTGAAACTAGGAGTACTTAGATGATGATGGGATTTCTTTTTGATAAATAATGGGGAGAAGAGTGGCTAGAAATGTATGAAACTTCGGTCATGTAGTTCCCACTTTAAAAGTGGTCCAGCTTTCAACTTTTTACTGTTGTGTTTTTTCTTTGTAGATCAAATGATTTTGTGGTGGGAAACTTCCCATGCCAAACTATCTTTGTAGTAAATGGTAGTCACCAGTATCATAGTTTTATGATATATTGGCTTTGTTTCCAAGCTTTGTTGCTTTTATCACGTGCTTACTTATCAAACATCACCAAAAACTGTGATTTAGTTTCATTTGTTCACTTTTAAAAATCATGTCAATCTTTTATGGTTGACTTGTGCCTTCCTTGTATGAACCATCTCTTTCAACCTATGGGAGTGACAGATTCATGCCGACAATCATTGTTTGATTTCCTCCGGCGACAACCTTGTCCTCGATGCTACTCCTTCGCCATTGGTCACTTTGTGACATTCACAAACAATCAAGTAGGTATACTTCCATTTGTTGTCGGTTTTGTCCTTGAACATCTCGGCAAAAACTTTCCCGGCTCCATGGGGCCCACGGATATAGAAATTAACCTGTTTGAAATGGTTAAGAAGCAATCACCAAATCAAAAATTGCATATGAGAGGACTAGGACGCTATAAATTTGCAACAATACAAAGTTGCTTGCAAACATCTAAACAAATAAAGAATTTTTCAAAACAATCTTGTAAAGACTAGAGGGTCACCTCCACATGTTCTATGCCATTTTCGTCCGTGTATATCCTGTTCGGAATACGTTGGCGAGCAGCACGATTTCTAGTTTCTTGACCATAGCCAGTAATAGGATGTCCAATCCTCACCCTAACCTGACAGAAATAAATGTAATACCATCTGGCATAGAATTAGAATCATATATACCTCGGTTGTCTGTCGAATATATGCTTAGGGTTATATATACATGCAAGAAAAACAGAAACATACTTATAATTATCAAGCTAGAATATGCTAGATTCATCCAAAATATGACTCGATAAGTGTTCATTGTTTTATTTGTTCTCCGTTTTATTTTAATCTCTTTAACATACTCTGTTGTTCTTATTTATGCCTTCTAAGATACTATTTTGATGTTCATGCTGGCTGCAGATGTATATTGACAGGCTTCTGCCTGAAGATCTGCAGCTATAAATTATAATCCATGTTGCACTGTTAACATTTCTAGTTTTGATTGAGAACTGATTAACTGAGGTAAACTCCAATGCACTGTTTCAGAGTGTAAGTTCAGAGACAAGAAAGCTACTTTTTACAACCTGGCTTTCGTTCTGAATCCTTTCCAGGGCCTGGTTGAATATCTTATACCTATAAAACCATGGTTTCGAATTAGGGTACAAGTAAAGAAGGGAGTAGCTTAGCAACCCTAATCATCAACTAGGCGTTTGAAGCTTACTCTCTTGGTTGAAATATCAACTCCTTGAAGACAGCATATCCTGCAGCAGCTGCAATCCCAAGCCCAACAAGGATTATGAGACTGTAGCTAGCGCCCTCTGTAAATGTCACAGGCTTTTCTGGGATATTGTATGTAGGAGCATCAAACGGATCCTCAACATTAGACAATTCTTTTCTAGTCTGCTAAAGGGATAAAGACAACAAGTCAGAGCGACTGATGTGAAGCTTCAAGTAATCATAAAGCCCACAGAACTGGGAAATGCAGCAATTATATGTTGACCGGTAATAGCATTTGATGAGTACAGCTCAGAAAACCTCTGAATTTAATTGTTCTTTCCTTTTTTGTACACAATTGCCTTTGAGGTCCCACGAGGACAGATGGAATTTACTCAGTACGGAATAAACTTCAGTAGTGATTATGTTTTCTTTAATATTTATTGCTATGCAATAACCAAAGTATGATGAAATAATTTAAGTTGTTCCATGCGCAATTAGGAAAGAAAGATGATGATAAATCGCACACACTTTCAGATAGATTCCTCTTTAGCATCCTTTCAGCATTCGGGCATAGATTGCCTCACCATAGAAGTGGATAAAACATGCATTCACTCACACATTCGAATTACAAGCAATCATCATGAACAGTATTTTTGTCAATTAAAGCCAACCGTGATAAGAACACAAAAAGGAAAAATATTTAAGCTAAGATCCGAACCTCAGATACTTCTTTCGATTGCTTTGAAGTTCTTGATGCAAAGAATCTAGCAAAGTAAGGAGACATGAGCTTCAATCCACAATTTTCTATGTGATGGACCGAAGCTTGAAACTTAACTATACAATCTCCGCCGCACTGTCCTCTACTTAGAAGAGAAATGCCTGTCGGACACAACTGTCAGATAAAGTAGGTAAAACAATATCTGAGAAAAGAAGATAACAATTATCCTTATGCAGTTATGCTAATCCAACTTGGAATTAACTTTTATGCACTTCAGGTGGTAGGCACTTATGCATAAATCAATATTCTACGCAACAAAGCAACAAAAAGACAGTGAGGCGAATATGGAACTTACCCTTAATAGATGGCTAATGATAATAATTGTGAAGTTAAATTTTAGTAACAACACGAATACAAGAATCCCATCGACCATAACCTTCAGGAATTTGGATGAAACCTAGGGAGAAAAATATTTTCTCTAACAAATTGAACATAAATGTTTCAGATAAACATAGATGAGAAATAACTAACCATTAGCTCCAAGTACACTCTGTAGAATGAAAGAAGAAAGGATTTAGTTTGCACTTTGCAGCTATCTAGAGAGAGAGAGAGAGAGAAAAAGTCATTTAGAACTACTGCCTCACCTTTGATATATTATTGGCACCTGTCACATACTGTCTTGCAAAACTAGAATTCCGATCCACCGGAGACTGCAGGAATCAGTATGTCATCAGAAAATGGTTCAACAACTGATACAGATTGAACATAACTAAGAAACACTCTTAGAGGAATTTCAAAAACTATAATGAAATCATATTATTCAAGTCAAAACAAGGTTTAGGCTCAACTCATAAAAGCAGAGGAAGCTCCAATAAATTTGATTGGATCATAGGCCTTTTGATATACTAATAAGTACTATCTAGTATATAAATTATGCTACTATATTCTATATCACTCCATTTCACTTAACTTACCAATCACCATTGCAACTACTTTGCTAGCTAATAACACAAACAAACAGAATAACATATTTTGTAGGCAAGCAAAACAGAAGACATCAAACAAAGCATTTGAAAGAACAGTAATGTCAAAATAGAAAACTAATTTCAAAGAAAAGAAATGAGGAATGGTGGAATAAATCAACATACCCTTTTAGAAGCTGAAGTAAAATCATTCGAAAAAGGCTTACATTCCACAAATGATCTGAAGGAACCACGCCATATGCTCTTACTAGATATTACAGACCTCCTAATGTTCTGCATCTTCAACTACAAAAAGCTTAAACCTTTTTCCTTCTATAACTCTATAAAAATACTATCTTTCTTTTTGGATTACCAACAAAACACCAAATCAAAACAAGAAGAGAAAAACCCAAACCCCAAAAAATTCAATCCAAAACGCATAAACCAGTTAAGAAAGACGAGATGACATTGGGGGAAACGAGAAACCCCAGCGGTAGAGGTTTTGTTGAAGAAAAATGGAACCAAATGCTCGTGCTTGGGTCTAACCTGAGCCCAATAGTTGCCTACAAAAACATGAAACACACATCAAGGCCCAGTATCCTGAAGGATATAATGACAAACGTTTCCAAGATAGAGGGGGTCAAAGTGTAATTATGAGAGACAAAAAGGGTCTTCTCTGTTGCAAAATATGAAATATTCATCACCCACCCCTGGTGGTCGAACAAAACTCAACTCGACTTGAGAAATTGGTTTTTTAATTTGAATCGACTCGTAATTTTATAAATTCGGCTGGACTAAAAAAAGTTTTAAATTTGAGTCGAATTATAAAATAGAACTCAAATAACTCGAAATTTTTAGTAATTAATAGATTGATTTTCAAATTTGAGTTGATACTCTCAACTCCGTATGATATATGTATATCACATTTGAAAAAATATGAAGAAACATATATGTATATTATTATAGAAAACCAATTAAATTGACATAAAATAATATCATATTATTATAAAATATATATAATTAAATTTAAACAGAAACTCGAATAACTTCACTCAAATTTCAATTTTTTTTAAATAAAGTTTAATTATAAGACTCTAAATTCAAATAACTCAAAAAAAATTAACTTGACTCGATCGAATACTCATTCCTAACATCCGGGTATTTTTCCTTTTCTTCACTCTCTTATCTGTTTTCCGATTAACAAAGACCGAGAAGAAACAGGATGGAACTTGATTTAGCTGCCTTTGCCGGGTAACCCCTTAGCTTAATTTTTAAGAATGTATCTTATATAAGCTCAATAGTGTACAAAGATATGGTTTTGTCATGTAATTGTACTTTTAGTTGAGCAAAAGCTTGAGCTTTTGAGGTTTCCTGGAACTAATGATGTGGAATGAAGAAATAGGAAGTTCTTGAGTCTTGGGACATTAAATACTTATTATTTTGTCATGTAGTTGTACTTATGTCACATACTTATTCTTTTCTTGTTATGTGTCATTTTGGACATTTATCTCTTTTAGTGATTAAATTAGTCTAAACCTTTCAAAGATATATATGTAATCACTAAAAAGCAGTTGTTTAAGTGTCGCACAGACAAAAGAAAAAAAAGAATATGTACTTATCACCACCACTTATTGTGAATTTTTTTTTTTAAATTTTGCCCCAAGTTTACGTTGAAGCTGACTGAGTTAAGTATTATTGCTGCGCAAGGTTTGTGTTTTCATTTTGACTAAAAATATTACACAACTTACATAAATAAACTGAGGTCTTGATGATAATTTCTATGTTCTTTTGAATGGCGTTGGCAAAACTTGGGCTTATTATTGATGGGGTTTTTCCATAGTTGAAATATTGCAATACCTTAGCTCTTAAGTCATGTAATCACCGCTTCATCTGATGTAGATGGCTACATGGGATCAGATTCTCTCTTCCTGTACAAAATCCGCCGACCTTGGAGTTCTCTTCACAACATCTTGTGTGGTTGAAGGTGGAAGGTTGGCGAGACCATAACATTAAAGTACGGTCATAATACAGTGTAACGATTGTATCGTAACGTTTTTTAAGGTTACCGCGATATCATAAACTGCATCCACAACATAAAAATATAATTACTTTAAGAAATAAATCACGTCGTAACGTCCGCAACATCTGTAACTACAACACCGTCGCTTTAATCACTTACTGAAGTTGCAGCTCGAGAAACAGATGAATCAGATGAGAAGGAACTTCTTAGCCACAACTAACCATCCGAACTTCAAAAGAGTGTTTAAGATAGAAAATGCGGAAATAAGGATACCTGTGAACAGGCGACAAATGATCAGAGTTGTGCTGTTGATATGAAAATTGTTTCATAAGAGGCTGTCATACACTCTGCAATCAGCGCTCTGGTTAGGAGTGTTCAAACTGTCGGATCCATTATATGGACCTGACTCTCACAAACAACATACATTTTGTTGGATCATGAATTCCTTCGTTCGTTCTTTGTTCATGCTCAATAAATTCATTTGTAATTATGTGATTCAGCTAGTTGCTTTAAATTATAGCACCAAGCATAAATTCTTTGTTTTTCTTAGCTACACATTTTTCTTATGATGTGATAAGCATGGATAGATATTTGATCCGAGTTCAAAAAATTTTGATCCGATTAGAATAGATATTTTTTTTGTTAAAAATCTAGATTCAAGTTTGGTAGAGTTTCTTTAAGGATAGTGACGAATCAGGTTTAAGTTTAGAGTGAAAAAATTTCGTCCCGATATAATATTATAATTATTCTTTATATACTTAGAGATTCATCCCTATATTCTTTTTTTCAATTAAGTCTTTATTTTATATAATATATATATATATATATATATATATATTTGTGTCGAATCAGGTTGGATGTGGGTTTTCACCTAAAAAATTAAATCAAATTTTGGATCTAATGAGATATTTCTAAACCCAAATTGAGTCAGATGCAAATGGAGGAATTTACTTTTTAAGTTAGATTCAGGCGGATCAAAAATCCTACTCCACCCATATATGATAAAGGAAATGTGGTCCTCAGCTACAAAGTTCGACTTTTGTCCCTTGCATATTATTGCTGCCTCTAGTTGTATGAGGTTTTTGTCTTCCTCAATACTATTATCATAAAGACTTTTTTGAGCCATGAAAAAAGAAAGTTGGTTTAGTTATGTTCCATAAAGTTATGTGATTAAAGTACAAATCCAAATCAAAGACACCAACTTCGCTGAATCAATAGCATCTACGTCAATATCCAAAGAAAACACAACTTCGGTTCATCTTAACACAAGGGAAAGAACACTCAGATTCATGAAGTAAACCTGATTATTCGATCAAATTCAATGACTTTAAGAACTGATACATAATAAACAAATAGCAGTCACATCATGAAGAAGGCTGAGACATGCTTGAGATGATGAAACTAGAGTCATCTTCTTTCATGGTTTCATGGAAAAGAATCGAAAACATTACCATTGACACATTCTTCAGTTGAAGTAAGTGATCCCAGTCTGACCACTTTTTGTAAGCACCTCAAAGTTCCCAGCGGTGATGGACCCGTTTTTGCTTGAGATCGATCTTCTTAATTCCGAATACGCACAGTACTCTACTTCGACCTAGGTCGTGTGCTCCGAGAACCCCGAAACCGAAGCTCCAACTCCTTCCCCTGGCATTATGAAACAGAGAACAAAGGGCTAAAATACAGCAGAAGCAGATGAAATCACTGTAATTCTTGTTTGCTAGAAGCTTACTTACCATGTGTGACTAATAGCAGGTTTTCAGAAGGGTATTTATCAGCCAATGCCTTAATAGCTTGTGCATATCTACTTCTACAACCCTCCACAGTTTCTTCCCATTGCGGCAACTGTAATTTTTTAAGACAAAATTCTTGTATTGTTTAGACATTGGATATATCAAAATCAAACTGCGAATACTTTACTATCACTTTCTTGATCATCTGAGTGGACTACGAAATTTAACGGGATGCGAAACTAGACTATCAATAGAATTTGAAATTTTCAGAAATACGATCTTACTCAATACCTCCCGGTCCATCTCTGATCTTACGTATAGTCGGATTTGAGAAACATTACCTCTTTGTAAACTCGTTCAACACTAGGATCCAACGTGCCACTTGGTAGCATAGACTCAAGCTGTGGAACATCGAAACGGAAGATCCCATCTTTAGGTGCTACATCAACCCTAATTGTTTCGCTATTTAACATCTCACACAATCCGTACTCAATAGAAACATGTAAAATACGAACAAAATGAGCTCAAATAAGAAAGCATAAGTAATTTTTCATTGCATAATATCGATCTGAACCTTGACTCTTGATAGATCGAGTTTGATGACGTCTTTAGATGACTTGCCACCGGCGTCAACATCGACGGCGCAAAGGGCGGCGACGACCTCGGAGGCTGTCTGGACGCAGCGGAAGAAAGGGGAGACGAAGACTCGATGGATCCGGAATGGAAGGAGGGTCCGTAAAATTCGACCCGCCTTGAAAGCCCTGGCAAGGCCGTTATCTATGAGCGGAGGGTCCCATGGCCTCTCCGCCGTTTTGATCCACGTGGGATCGAAGTTGTCCTTTTTAAAAGTACAGCTGTTGGAGGAAATCGCATTCCAACTGCCAAGTTCTATTATATATATTCTTATCCTCCCTATTCCTATAGTTTTGCCTTAATTAATCTAGATCAATTTATATCGTACATCTAATTTTAATGAGTGGATCTTTTAATAGTAATTTTCTAAATATATATAAAGCTTTAAACTCGAGACATACTTAATCGATATTAAATTACTTACTATTTCATTCAACTCCGTAGATTCTATTATATTTTATTAGAATTACATTATTGTTTTGAACCTTTTAGATGGATAGAAGGGGTGTTGGAGATTCTAAATTCTTTCCTAATTAATTTTTTTATACTTTTATTGATGATTTAATTTCGTATCATTTAATATTTTTAAAATTTTATATCCTTAAATTTTCAATATAACTTTTTGTATTTGTACTCCTAAAAAAAATTGCCTCCGTCTATGATTCTATCATACAACTTAAAATTTAGTTTTTATATTTTAATTTAATATTTTAATTATATTTGTCAAAAATTGTTAATATAATTTTTTTCTGAAAATTTTAAATTTCAGTTGAATCATTCAAAGTGTTTTTAAAAGAGTTAATAGTGAAATAATTGATTTACTTATCTAAGGTAAGAATGGCAACGGGTCGAGTTTGGGGCGGGTTTTGCTCGTCCCGTCTCCGAACCCGAAATGAATCCCCGTCCCTGACCCCGACGGGTTTTTTATCGGGGCACCCTGTCGGAGATTTTTTTTGCCTCGTCCCCGAACCCGATCCGAAATATTATACCCGAACCCGACCAGAACCCAAAAATATTTTATATATAATTAATATAAAATATACAATATTATATATATAATTAATATAAAAAATAAAAAATATTATATATATATATAATCGGGGCGGGGATACTTTGCCCCG